AGGAGGTTTTGTGGGCAAAAGGGGCTTGGACTTCCAGCAAGCGTGCATGAGCGTGTTAGATAGGAGTGAATGGAGACGAATGGTACTTGGGACCTGACGATCTGTTGGAGTGTGAGCAGGTAATATTTAGTGAAGGGATTCAGGGAAACCGGTTATTTTCATATAGTCGGACTTGAGTCCTGGAAATGGGAAGTACAATGCCTGCACTTTAAAGGAGGGGTTTGGGATATTGGTAGTTTGGAGGGATATGTTGTGTATCTTTATATGTGTATGCTTCTAGACTGTTGTATTCTGAGCACCTCTGCAAAAACAGTGATAATGTGCGGTGTGGTGAAAGTGTTGAAATGATGATGAAAGTATTTTCTTTTTGGGGATTTTCTTTCTTTTTTTTGGGTCACCCTGCCTCGGTGGGAGACAGCCGACTTGTTGAAAAAAAAAAATATATATATATATATATATATATATATATATATATATATATATATATATTGTATATAATGTATATACAGTGGACCCCCGCATAACGATTACCTCCGAATGCGACCAATTATGTAAGTGTATTTATGTAAGTGCGTTTGTACGTGTATGTTTGGGGGTCTGAAATGGACTAATCTACTTTACAATATTTCTTATGGGAACAAATTCGGTCAGTACTGGCACCTGAACATACTTCTGGAGTGAAAAAATATCGTTAACCGGGGGTCCACTGTATATATATATATACGTATATTTTTTTTTTTCAACAAGTCGGCTATCTCCCTCCACCTTAAGATGACCCACAAAAGAAAACACAGTCATCATCATTCATTCAATAACTGTGTTGTCTGAACTATGTATACATCACAGTTATAATGACCCTCTGAACTGTAACATTATCATCCATACTCCAGAGTACAGGCACTCCTTCCCACCTTCAGAGCTCAAATCTGACTGTTTTCCCTGATTTCCTTCATAAATGTTACCTTGCTTGCACTCTGAAAGCAAGTCAGGTTCTTAAAACAATTGATTTCATACCTCTTGTATGCTTGTGCATGCCTGCTGTATGATCAAGCCTCTTTCACTAAAACTTCTTCACTCCCTCGAACCCTTCGTGAGATGATTCTTACCCCTTCTTCCCTTCACCCTAAATTTATACTCCCTCTTGGTCATCCTATTGTGCTCCGCCCTTTCAGAATAATGAAATCAACTCAGCATTCCTTTTTTCACCCTCTAAATTATATCTTTCATAATGCTACACTTCTACGCTTTTCATTCTCTGCATAATATTCACACCAAACATTACTCTGAAACATTACATTTCCACTGCCTTCAACCTCCTCTCCAACACACTCCCTATTCTTCATTTATTCTATGATTCACCTTGTCATCTGTTGGCCCATTTTCTGCCCCCTGTTCTTGGATATCTAAATACAGCCACCTCTTTCATGAACATTTCCTTCATTCTTACATATAATATTTTGTGCTCTTTTTACATTCACTTTCAACTTCCTGCCTCTACACATTCTCTCAAACCCCATCCACTAACTTCTACAACTTTTTTCTCTAATTTTCCTAAAGCACTTTATCAACGAAAGTCATTACTAAAGAGCAACTATGATGACTCATATCTGATATATCTTTTAATTAAGCCCACACCTTTCCTCATCACTAGCATTTACTTGTTTTATAACCCCATCAATACATATATTCAACATCCATAGTTGGTGGACAAACTAGGGAGAGTGTATAAAAGAAAGAAATTAAAAATGAATATGGAAAAGAACAAGGTGATAAGGGTAACAGAAAGTGTAGGCAGTGGTAGATTGCATACCAGATTGGGGGAAGGTAGTATGGAGGAAGTGGATGATGTACTGTGGTACCTCGGGATACGAAATTAATTCGTTCCAGAAGGCTGTTCGAGTGCCGATACCGAACGAATTTGTTCCCTTAAGGAATAATGTAAATTAGATTAATCTGTTTCATACCCCCAAAAATATACTTACAAAAGCACTTACATAAATACACTTACATAATTGTTTGAGTTTTGAGCTGTTTGTGTCCCAAGGTACCACTGTATTTAGATATTTGTCAGCAGATGGGTCTGTGAAAGATGAGGTGAACCATAAAATAGTTGAGGGGAAAAGAAAAGCAAAGATGAGTGGTGTATTGAGGTATCAGTGGGAATAAAGCAGTATATCTGTAGAGGCAAAAAAAAAAAAAGAAATTGTACCAGAGTACTATAGTGGTACCATTATTATTACGTATTATTATTTTATTATTATTACTATTATTAATGTGTATTTATTTTTAATATGATTTTCTTTTAAGATTTCTTCTGACATCTTGGTCATCCTGTTGTGCTCCACCTCCCACTTAGGAAGCATGATTCGAAAATGGAGACATATTCACCATTATTCATTCAAAAGCTGTGTTGCCAAAAGTGTGCAGACATTTCAGTTGAAATGGCTCACTGAACTACAAGTTCACCACCCCGTTTTCAGAATGCAGGCACTATATTTCCTACGTCCTTGTATTCAGAAATCTAAAAATATAAATTTTAATTTCATTCCTCATGTGTAATATTTTCTTCTAGGGTTGGCACCTGGCACATCAGTACCGTGGAAAAAGGATCCAAATGATCCTAATGATGATTGGTGTGCAGTTTGTTGGGATGGAGGTGATCTTATCTGTTGTGACTTTTGTCCAAAGGTTTGTATGTTAAGGATATTTATAAACTCTTGTAAAGTAATCTTTATTCAGACGGTCACAGTATTAAAAATGAAAATTTAATAAAAGAAAAATGTATTAAACCTTCACTGTCAGTCCCGTAATATTACGGCTTGCAAGTCAGTGTCAGTCCCGTTATACTACGCCAAAATTCTAGCAGCTTCCAATCTTGCAGGAGAAAACTGGTAGGCCTACGTATGAAAGAATGTGTCTGAGTGGTCAGTGTGCTCAGTATAAAAAAAATCCTGAAGATGCGGTGCATAATGAGAAAAAAAAACACTGACTGTATTTTTTGTATTTATGGTTGTATTCTTGTTTTCTTGGTCTCATTTGATAGAATGGAAGATATATTAGAGAACTGGAGATGATTTTGAATGGTTTACTGTCTAAAAGTACCTTGAAATTGAGCTCAAATTCGCGGATGTGTTCGATTTTTGCCGATGTTCAAGAGTAAACAAATCATGTCACGCATTCAATACACATCACTTGGTGGTCTGCTATGCTTTCACAAGTGTCCTGATATTATTTATACAATTTTTACAATAATGCAGTAGTCTGCATTACAGTAAATCTTATATTTTTTGTGTGAATAAAAGTTCAAAATGGTAAGCAAGCATAATAGAAGAGGGACCTGGCGATGTGATTAATCAACAAAAAAAAATTTTTATTTTAGTGCTAGAAATGTTTGCATTGTTAATTCTGGACCCAATTTTTGAATTGGCCATCCTTAAATTGTGTATGAAATTGGCCAAATTACCAATTTCTGATCACTTTATTTATTGGGTAGTTGAAATCAGTAAATTGTCGGTTTCTTGTACTCAGTCAATAGAACAAAAGGAGTTCTGGCGAAATAGCTATGAGTTTGGTCAACTAGAGTAATGGAATCGGCCGAAAATAGGGCTCAAAGTGGACGAAATTGCCGATGCGTAAATATCACCAAGGCTGCTAACTTTGGAAGAGCGTAATTCTGTAAGTTTTCCATCAGATTTTGTACTTTTGGTTTCATTACCCTGGGGAAAAGATTCTCTTATTTCATAAGTTTTTTTTTTTACACAGAGCAAGTTTGTGAGCAGGAGTCTCAACACTGAAAGCGTTGATATGAATTAAGGTTATGGATTAGCTTTAAATAGGCCAAAGGCATAAATGGGATATTTTCTAATTCTTCAGAATATGATTATGTAATATAAAATACTTTTTTTTCTTTTTTAACATGTCAGCCATTTCCCATTTCATCATCATTCAACACTTTCACCATCACTCATACATAATCACTGTCTTTGTAGAGGTGCTCAGATATGACAGTTGTTTAAAATACAGTAGATTAAATTTTAAGATGGAATTAAATTAAGTGAAAAAATGTGCCTGCTAGAGACCATTTTTGTTTTAAAATTCAATACAGCCTCTCATCACTTAGCGATGTACGTACTCGTTTACTGATGACTCGGACTTACAACGGCCTCTCTGACCAGTATGCATACCTAAATAATGTATATTAGAGCTGATTTCCGCTCTTCTGTTTATTATAATGTACAATACACTTCTGTATAAACATTTAAAAATATACGAAAAATGTTATAAATGGTGCAAGGGTGACGTTAAAGCAATATCAAAGATGGTTGACATAAACCCATTGCCGTTATAGTATGCTCCTCGTTTAGCAACGGATTCGTTTACCAATGTGGTATTAGGAGAAGAACTCCATTCTTAAGTGAGGAGAGGCTGTATACAGTATCGTATTTATGTATATAGGAAAGTGTTATTAATGCTGATAGTAAATACTAGCAACTACCGGATTACAAAAAATTCTTCCTGCATATTTTGAGGATTTTCTCAAAAGTCTCAAGCTTTAGCCTAAACTATGTGTGAGTCTGGCATATTTCTTTTTTTTTTTTTCCAGAGTTCTGATGAAGAATTCTTAGTGAGTTTGGAAGGTTTTATGCCAACCATCCTTCCCTTTTCTAGAGGGTATTTTGACATTCAGTTTTTATGAACTTGTGAATTGTTGTCGTATGATACGTTGATCTTGGGTTTTATTTCAAGCTTTTTCTTTCTTACAGGTATTCCATGTGCATTGTCATATTCCAACACTGACGCACCTTCCCACTGAGAACGAAAAATGGCAGTGTATGCTCTGTACAGACTTGGACAGCCTGCAGCTCTATGATTCTGATGAAAAATCAAAACGGAAATTGGGACTAACATCACGTGATATAAAAGTTGCCCAAAGAATATTGCTTGAACTCTATTGTAATTATGAAGCCTCTCAACCTTTTCGAGAACTTGTTGATAGGGAGGTATGTGTTTAAACATTTTACGTTTAAAATCAATTACCGTATTCATCATGAATTTTACAAAGATTGATTTGTGCTTTTATCCTGTGTATGACACAGCACTTTGTTGAGGAGGGGTTTCGGGATATTGGCAGTTTGGAGGGATATGTTGTGTATCTTTATACGTATATGCTTCTAAACTGTTGTGTTCTGAGCACCTCTGCAAAAACAGTGATTATGTGTGAGTGAGGCGAAAGTGTTGAATGATGATAAAAGTATTTTCTTTTTGGGGATTTTCTTTCTTTTTTGGGTCACCCTGCCTTGGTGGGAGACGGCCGACTTGTTGAAAAAAAAAAAATTACTTTTATGCTTACACTTTTATATTTACACTTACCTTGGAGGAGATGTTAGTTTAATTAGTTAGTTTGATGGAGGAGATGCAGGCAGAAGCTTGGGGGTGGTGGAAGATATGTAGCAGGGTGGCGTATGTTCATTGGCCCGATACACATTCAGCAACATTGGAGAGTTACTTTCGTGTCGTGTTTCTATCGCTTACTCGCTTAACTTACTTGCTACACTGTTAATTCTACACTTTATCGCTGGCTGGCACTATAGTCTTTATTGATACCTGCTGCTTTAGTATGGTACATATCGTAGAATCACTGAATTGCTGCAGAAGGCACATTCTCCCCTCTCTCTTCTTCCTCCACTTTGGTACATTGCTACGAGTTTTTTTCTTGAACTTGAATTCTGTTGTGCTTCTTTCCTTTATTACCACAGGGCTGGCACTAGAAGCTTTCTTTGGGCCCATGGTGGCTTATTTAGCAGTCACAAGCACTTAAAACAGTGGAATAATACAAAATATATCGCATGTACGCATGGTCATCCTCCTTGGCTTGTAAACGATGGCACACTGGCTTTATATGGGCTCAGGCCGTGTGGACACGTTCGGGATGAATGTCCTTAACCGAGTTCTTGGATGTTAGCCGAGCCAATATTTTGACTCAAAAACGTGCCGCTATCCGATTTTGGTGTTAGCCGATGCCGCCATTACACGAGGGTCCACTGTATTCTACTTCAAGCGCCAGCTTCCCCCAGGCCTTCCTTAAATTTATGTAGTAAGTACTGTAAGTTTTTATTTAGGTTTTGGGTATAAAACATACATTTCTGGATCAACAAGCAATGACATCTACAGGTGTAAGGTTTCAGAAAAAAAAATCAGTATTTCTTGATGAAATAAGAATTTAAAAAAAAAAAATCTGCCCTTTTTGAGGTGCAAGAAACTAATCTTAATTTTCCCATTCATTATTGACATCGCACACCATGAAATTACGTAAGTGTTGATTTCATGAAATTAACTCTAACTTTATGTGAGGGGTCTACTCTACTGAATTATATATACTTTTTATATAATTCTCATTTTTAATTGTAAGCTGGACACCTCTTGTAGTTCATTATAGTTCTCCTTGCTCAATTTAATGTTTTACCCATGCTGCTTTTGGCCCTGATCAGTAGGTACTAGATATATTTTGATAAAGGATGTGCCAAATTATTGGTATTGGCCTAAATTGAGTACAGTAGTACCTTGAGTTTTAAACTTAATCCGTTCCAGGAGCTAGTTCTAAAGTCGAAACGTTTGAAACTCAAAGCAGTATTTCCCATAAAAAATAATGTAAATCCAATTAATTTGTTCCTGCTGTCAGGAGGCATGACAAAATAGTACTTCAATATGACACTATTATCAACTCTACGGCTTATTTATCTATCACAGTTCACTATGACATAAACAATATAAATACAGTGGCCCCTCAATAATCGTAAGGCTCGAAAGTTGTAATTTTCGAAAATAGTAATGTTATTTTTGTCAAAACATTGACTCGCAAATTGTTGTTTGACTCGCAAATAGTCATTCGTCTGGGACGTGTACACACAGCCACGAGCCGCCTCACACTCCATTCCCAGCCAGTGTGCCACTGTTTATCAGTGAGCGAGGATGATCCCACAAGTTCATACGATACATTTCATAATATTCCATTCGTTTTGATGCTTGCAACTGCTAAATAAGTCACCATGGCTCCAAAGAAAGCTTCTAGTGCCAGCCCTTTGGTAAAGAGTGTGAGAAACACGTATAATTAAAGAAAAAGTTTGTAGAAAAATATGAAGGTGGTGGTGGTAGAGTGGTAGCAGTTGTGATAGTGGTAGAGGTTGCTAGCAGTTGTGATAGTGGTAGAGGGTGGCAGTGATGGTGGTAGAGGGTGGTAGTGGTTGTGATAGTGGTAGTGATGGTGGTAGAAGATAGTAGTGATGGTGGTAGAAGGTGGTAGTGGTTGTGATGGTGGTAGTGGTTGTGATGGTGGTAGCGGTTGTGATGATGGTAGAGGGTGCCTTCTTCAGTGATTCAGTGATTCTACCAACTCCTCCAATGTTGTTGGAGTTATATAGGGCTACAGAAAACACCGCCGCCTCAGCTGCTGCTTCACCACCATTATTTTTTTTTTTTTTTATTATCACACTGGCCGATTCCCACCAAGGCAGGGTGGCCCGAAAAAGGAAAACTTTCACCATCATTCACTCCATCACTGTCTTGCCAGAAGGGTGCTTTACACTACAGTTTTTAAACTGCAACATTAACACCCCTCCTTCAGAGTGCAGGCACTGTACTTCCCATCTCCAGGACTCAAGTCCGGCCTGCCGGTTTCCCTGGATCCCTTCATAAATGTTACTTTGCTCACACTCCAACAGCACGTCAAGTATTAAAAACCATTTGTCTCCATTCACTCCTATCAAACACGCTCATGCATGCCTGCTGGAAGTCCAAGCCCCTCGCACACAAAACCTCCTTTACCCCCTCCCTCCAACCTTTCCTAGGCCGACCCCTACCCCGCCTTCCTTCCACTACAGACTGATACACTCTTGAAGTCATTCTGTTTCGCTCCATTCTCTCTACATTATGGACAGCTTATGCACTCAGTGGCCTTTATACACCCAACAACAACAACACAACACCTCTTGTGACATTCATAATGACTTATTTTATTCATTGTAGAGTATATTCCATGTTTCTATGTTATTGATATTGTTTATTATGTCATATTAGTTGAATTATGATAGATAAATAAGCCGTAGAGTTGATATTAGTGTCATAGTCTCCAACAATAAACTCGCCTCCCCTCCCTCTGCCCCGTCTGCCATACACCAACAAAAGTCTTCAATAAAGGTAAGTGTGATGTTAAATGTTCATATATACATTTTATTAGTACTTGGCATTCTTTTCTGCACGTAAATCTATATTTAAGCTAGGGAAGTGACCTAGAGTCCTTATGGAGGAGTATTCCCCTTCCAAACAATAACCTCTCTTCCCTCTCTCCTCCCTGTCTTCCATTCATCAACAGCAGCCTTCAATAAAGGTAACTGTCATGTTGAATGTTCATTCTTTTGTGCATGTAAATCTATCTTTAAGGTAAAAAAAAAATTGTTGATACTTCTGGGTGTCTGGAATGAATTAATTGGATTTACATTATTTCTTATGGGGAAAATGGATTCGCAAATCTTCAATTTTGATAATAGTCACTCTCTCTGGAACGAATTAATTACGAAAAATGAGGGTCCACTGTAACATAAAAACCTGATATACACTCGAGAATGAATAAAATATGTATGTCATTACGTATGTGGTGGCGGGATAAGACGCAGTCGTGGGCATTCTTGCTCCAGCTATGAAAACATCTTCCCATTCTTTCCTCCTTCAGACATGTTAGTATAAGAGAAAACAGAGTTTGTAATGCTAACTGCATTAGATCACTTCTTTTGTAAGAAAACCATAATGTAGAAATGAAATGGTGTACGTACACCATTTACATACCTTGCAAAAGATAGGCTTTAAACTCAACAACTTGCACCTGTGCTGGCATGCAGGAACACATTAAAATCATTGAGAGTGTGTTATTAGCCATGAAGATGCCATATTAATAGTAATAATAATAATAATCACTCTGAGGCGCATTAAATGCTGTATAAAATGTTAATATGGACATTTTGCTTAATCCATCTGTGATATTTTTTCAAAATTATATAATAAACATGCTGGTATCAACAACAACAACTGGTTTGTTTACAAAACTCGCAAACATGGGGGTTACATACCTACCACATTTTGATACCTACCTACCATGCTATTCACCTTGCACCCTATATTAAGACCATTAAGACTACAAATATTTTAAGGCAAGTAATGAGTGTACTGTATATGCATTTTATTGCTCTAAGGCACTTTAAATGCTTGGTATATAATGTAATGTTTGCTCGAGAAACAAAGCCAGACTGACTCACGACGCCTGCGCAAGGAGGCGCGCAGGTGCAGTGGCAGGCAGACAGGTCTGGTACGCGCTTCAAAACACGGGGCACGTTTGATACTCTGGACAAAATTGGTGCGAAAAGTGGTCAAAACTCAAAGCGTTCGAAAATCGATGTATTCGAAACTCAGCGATCCACTGTATGTACTTGGTATTGGCGACTATCGGCGAATTTTGATGGTATCAGTATCGGGAAAAGTTTTGGCATTGTTCCGTCAATAATTTTGATATTGTCCCTGTTACAAAAAACGCGATTCTAAAAGCTTAGAGATCTCCAGTGAATACTAGAAAGGACTGCCCTTCTAGCATCCAGCCTGTTACTGGGTTTTCGTAACAAGTAGTCAGTATCCTTGTCCAATTATCCATTAGAATACAGTATGATTCAATAGTGCTTCAGGATTACAACTGGTAGGCTACTAACTAGAGAAATTAAAATTTAATAAATTTATTAAGTCTAGAGGTATATTATCAAATTAAATTATATTAAATTAATCACAGTAATCAAAATAATATCACTTCTCTCGTTTACAATATTATTGTGCTGAAAGCACATATCACATTTATAATTCTTAAGTACCATCTGGTACATTAACATTTAATAAGATATTACAAATATGTACAAGTTTGTGTATGCGTGTAAGTGCTCTAAGTAGTTTGTTATGTCTCACGACT